ACAAGGCGACAGAGCGTTGCGATACACGCATGACTGATTTTGTGTGGGATGAAAACGGAGAGCAGGGGGACAGGGCACGAGAAGTGGTGTGTGGGGATGAGTTGGCATGAAAGGTATTCGAGGGCATGAGAGGAAATGAAAGCAGTAAAACCTAAAGGCAGACGAGGAGATGAGACACTTCCAAGGGTACTCTGATGTTCACCATCTCAAGCTTACCATCTCAAGCTTGTCTTGCAAGGCTTTTCAGCAATCCCATGGAGGCTCAGCTGCAAACCCTTACCCAGTGAGTGAAGCGCTTCATGAGGGGGTAGGAGAAGACAAGGGGCAGTGACGCCGCTCCCAGCACTTGACTGCATGAGGGTGGATGGAAGGCGCAGGGCACAGGGGACACAGGAGACGATGTGTTTGAAGAAGTGTTTTGAGACGTCTCAGGGGACACAGGAGGGCGATGTGTTTGAAGAAGTGTTTTGAGACGTCTCAGGGGACACAGGAGGGCGATGTGTTTGAAGAAGTGTTTTGAGACGTCTCAGGGGACACAGGAGGGCGATGTGTTTGAAGAAGTGTTTTGAGACGTCTCAGGGGACACAGGAGGGCGATGTGTTTGAAGAAGTGTTTTGAGACGTCTCAGGGGACACAGGAGGGCGATGTGTTTGAAGAAGTGTTTTGAGACGTCTCAGGGGACACAGGAGGGCGATGTGTTTGAAGAAGTGTTTTGAGACGTCTCAGGGGACACAGGAGGGCGATGTGTTTGAAGAAGTGTTTTGAGACGTCTCAGGGGACACAGGAGGGCGATGTGTTTGAAGAAGTGTTTTGAGACGTCTCAGGGGACACAGGAGGGCGATGTGTTTGAAGAAGTGTTTTGAGACGTCTCAGGGGACACAGGAGGGCGATGTGTTTGAAGAAGTGTTTTGAGACGTCTCAGGGGACACAGGAGGGCGATGTGTTTGAAGAAGTGTTTGAACACTTCTTCAAAGGGCGATGGAGGGAGTGGAATGGGCACGAGGCAGGTCACAGGGGACACAGGAGGGCGATGGAGGGAGTGGAATGGGCACGAGGCAGGTCACAGGGGACACAGGAGGGCGATGGAGGGAGTGGAATGGGCACGAGGCAGGTCACAGGGGACACAGGAGGGCGATGGAGGGAGTGGAATGGGCACGAGGCAGGTCACAGGGGACACAGGAGGGCGATGGAGGGAGTGGAATGGGCACGAGGCAGGTCACAGGGGACACAGGAGGGCGATGGAGGGAGTGGAATGGGCACGAGGCAGGTCACAGGGGACACAGGAGGGCGATGGAGGGAGTGGAATGGGCACGAGGCAGGTCACAGGGGACACAGGAGGGCGATGGAGGGAGTGGAATGGGCACGAGGCAGGTCACAGGGGACACAGGAGGGCGATGGAGGGAGTGGAATGGGCACGAGGCAGGTCACAGGGGACACAGGAGGGCGATGGAGGGAGTGGAATGGGCACGAGGCAGGTCACAGGGGACACGGACCAGCATTGAAGCACAAGGGGGTGACAGCACCCGCTGGCAGAGGGTGGGGTCAGGTAGCAGCCAGCTTTGATGCCAAGCCAAGCACCTCAGTGACTTTTGAGGCGCCTCAAAAATACTGCAGCCCTTGGAATCATGAGTCAGGGTGACCCCTGGGGTCAGGTTAGCAGCCAGCTTTGATGCCAAGCCAAGCACCTCAGTGACTCATCCGCTCAACGACGGCTGGAAAAACAACACAGCGACCCCCCCACTCACCTGAACGTGTTCAGCTGCACGAGAATCCCCAGCCCCAGCAGTAGCTGCAGCCCGAGGAAGGAGGTGGCACCCAAGGGGGTGACGGCACCGGAGGGCAGCGGGCGGGACCTAGTATAAGCCACTCCCGCTTCCTGCCACAACACCTCTCACTCACCTGAACGTGTTCAGCTGCACGAGAATCCCCAGCCCCAGCAGTAGCTGCAGCCCGAGGAAGGACGTTGCACCCAAGGGGGTGACGGCACCGGAGGGTAGCGGGCGGGAGCGCGTGCGAGCCACCTTGGCATCAAAGTCCCGATCCAGCAGGTCGTTGATGGTGCAGCCGGCTCCTCGGAGCAAGACGGCGCCTGACCCGAAGAGGAATAGAAGTGCTGGGTCAGGCAGAGAGCCTGTTGGAGCAGCCAGTGCAATTGACCTGTGGGAGCGGGGGGAATGGAGAGGAGGGGAGTAGAAGGTTGTTTCGACAGACCTTGTGAAGAGGAGGTTGGGGGAGGATGGGCCGGGAGAGAGCAGGGAGCAAGAGTAAAAGTCCCGATCCAGCAGGTCGTTGATGGTGCAGCCGGCCCCTCGGAGCAAGACGGCGCCTGACCCGAAGAGAAAGAGAAGGGTTGGGTCGGGTAGAGAGCCTGCTGGAGCGGCCAGTGCGATCGACCTGTAAGGGAGGGAGGAGGGGGGAGGGGTGAATGGATAGACCTCGTGTGGAGAGAGGGGGGGAAAGGATGGGCTGGGAGAGAGTGGCAAGCAGAAACAGTGGAAGTTGCACGCATTAAACGAGCAGGGCGGCAGGTCGTTGATGGTGCTGCCGGTGCCTCGGAGCAAGATGGTCCCTGACCCAACGAGAAAGAAAAGCGCTGGGTCGGGCAGAGAGCCTGCTGGAGCTGCAGAGGAGAGGGAAGGGGGGAAAGGGAGGGTGGATACCAGAAGCAGGGCCAGGCGAGGAGCCAGGTGCCGGTGGGCTTGTCCAGGCGGGCGAGGTGGGCGAATGGCTGCACTGCGGCCGGCAGGTAGCGCTCCACCCACGATATGCTCCCACTGCCGCTGCCACTGCCGCCGCCGCCGCCGCTGCTGCTGCTGCTGTTGTCGCTGCTGCTGGTGAGGCTGGTACTGCTGGTGCTACCATGGGTGCTACTTGTGCTGCTGGCATTGCTGTTGTTGCACTCGTTCCCTGCTGTGCGGCCATCACTGTTGCTGCTTTCGGTGGTGCTGCTGGCGAGTCTTGTAAGGCCAGGGGACAGCCCTCGCACCGTGCAAACTTCTGTTCTAACCGGGTGATACTGCGGAACAGAGACAAACGAGCCTGATTTAGGTAATTGTGCTGATCTAGTAGGTGTAAGTGCATTGATGGAAGTGTGGTGTTCTACTGCTCCTCTCTCGTCGTCCTCTTGTCTCCAGTGTATGTGCCTCGGCACGTACTGTGTGGGAGGAGACTGTAACGAAGGATGGAACCCAGCGAGTCTGAAGGGTGGATGCACGCGGAACGATTTCTGGGTCAGATTGATTGAATCTGGAAGAATCCGAACCGTGGAGACATAATCCGATGGTAGTTCAGGGATGCCTCTAACCAAAGGATCAGAATCTGACGACGATCCAGATGCAAGGGGGGGAGCGCTGTCGGACGAATCAGAGAGGAACGAACTTGGACGTAAGCCGTTAAAGATAGCGGACTGAACGGGCTCGCGATGCGAGCTGCTGACGTCAGCATCACCCAGGGTGGGACCGAAAATGTGCGATCTCAACGACGCGATCAGGCCGCCGCATTGTGACTGTAACGGGTCCTTCAATCGCCGAATCGACCTGCGCATCACCCCAGGTAGCGCCATACTCTAAGGATTACGTTAAAGTGACAGTTATGAAACACGACAGGAGGAACCAAGGGATACGCCTGGTTGATTAAAACGTGCTGGGAGGGGGGAAGAAAAGGCAGGCACTAGGCATCCAGCGGCGATGACGGCGTGTAGCGTATGATGATAATCGCTTGCCATGCCACTAGCTTCCATTTTGTGCAGTGGAAGTTTTGCTCGTAAGAGGGAAAGCCACGTGAAGATGGTCAAACACAGGGATGTGATTTTCGGGACTTGCGTGGTGGATCTCGTTTCAGTACGTTCAAGTACGAGCAGAACTGGTTCGGAAAGGTGGTGGTGAACAAAGCTGTGACGCAAAATGAAACATGCAACAATTGTTTTTATATGAGGAGTGGTAAATCCTACCGCTAGTAGCGTGGCAAGCTTGTAACGGAATTGGGGATCTCGAAGGAACACGAAAATGAGTGGGAGTGTGGCGCCGCGAAAATCGTGGACTGACAGATAGGAGCTACACGATTTTAGCTTGGTAAAATCGAGGCAGCTAGAGAAACAACACTCTGGGAAACTCTGGTTTCTGCAGCCGTGTGGTTCCGTGTCCAGTCACACACGCACAACTCTACCAAGCCTGTCACGCAGCAGCGCTCAAGTAGAGCAGTGGCATCCTAGCAGGTTTCCAGTGCAACCTGATTACTAATAATCCGTTTTCAGGAAGTCCTGGCACTACTGACTGATCGTCGTCAGAAGTCAATGCCGCTTCGTCGCCTTGTCCCCTAAGAGTGATGGCATAGGCGACCGGCTTGTACCTGTGCGAACCGAGAAACTGACGACAGGTTTTAGCGTTAACGACACTCGCTGTGAACGACAGTCTCTCGGGTACACATGCATAGAAGATATTATTCCCGTCACGAAAAAAAAAAAACTATGTACATACAGGATGTATTCCCTTAGGTGGTTTATTCTCACGCGATGCATTGTCGTCGCAATAATCGCACCGAGCTTTTACTGTGGACCTGTTGCGTCGTCACCACCAGGTCGAGAAAACCCCCCTACTGGGCATCGAGCTTACGTTTCATCGTTCGTACGATGCCTAAACGGCACGAGCAAGCCGACAGCCGTTGATAACGAGCAACACGTATCCATTTCCCGCCGGTTGAGTGCTTTAACTTCTGACACGAACTTAGAAGCTCCTAGAACATTGGGTGCAACTGCTGATGATGTTAGCTCGACGGGTACTAACGCATATGTTGGAAATCCGTCTGTTCCATTTGCTCCTTCTAGTTCGTCCAACAGTGTGTCTAGTAACGAGCCGGCTTATAACGGTGATGCATCCAAGTCGAAATCCGTCAGTGGAGTCGGATCCAGGAAGGTATCTGAGAGTTCTCAAGAATCGCTCGTTAAGGAGCATGAGGTGACGATTGGATGCCTCGTCGCAACGGACGTCGCTGAAGGCATTCATATGCTCGCAGGTGGGTTGATTGTGCTGACTGGTCTGCCTGGGTTGGCTGAGGGTTCAGGAAGGCGAATTGACTGAGTAGACCGAGTTCAGAAAGGTGGGTTGTCTGGGTTGACTGAGGATGTGGGAATGTTGGTTGACTCGGTTGACTGAGGGTTCGGGACGATGGGTTGACTGGTTTGACTGAGGGGTCCAGGAAATTTGGTGGACTGGGTTTACTGAGAGGTGCAGGACGGTGGGTGACTGGGTGATTGAGGTTCTAGGAAGGTGAGTCGACTGGCTGGGTTGCTTGTGAGGCAGAAGGAAAACTGTTTCTTTGTTTGTGTATCGTGTTTGCTCTTCTCCTTGCTGTGCCTCTGCTATGCGCGCGTGCCTACACATGTGTGTGCCTTGCATGTGGATGCGCATGGGCATAGTGCATGCACTGCATGTGTGTGTGTGCGTGCGTGTGTTCATGTATGCATGCATGCATGCATGTGCATGTGCATGGTGCGTGCGTGGTGCATGCATGCGTCCATGTGATGTGAATACACTGCACGCCCACGCATGCAGGCAGTGTGATAGCAGTGGAGGCAATCAACAGCGACCCCTCTATCCTCCCACATCACCGTCTGCACCTTGCCACGGCCAACTACTCCATGACTGCTCCCATCGCCAGCATGATGGCCGGTGAGAGAGGGATGCGTGGATGCATGGTGGCAGTGGAGGCAATCAACAGCGACCCCTTTATCCTCCCACATCACCATCTGTGCCTTGCCACGGCCAGCTACTCCATGACTGCTCCCATCGCCAGCATGATGGCCGGTGAGAGAGGGATGCGTGGATGCATGGTGGCAGTGGAGGCAATCAACAGCGACCCCTTTATCCTCCCACATCACCATCTGTGCCTTGCCACGGCCAGCTACTCCATGACTGCTCCCATCGCCAGCATGATGGCCGGTGAGAGGCATGGTATGGCAGCATGATGCGAGGTGAGAGAGGCATGGCAGCATGCTGCCATAACCCTAAGTCTCACCACAGCCAACTACTCCATGGCTGCTCTCATCGGCAGCATGATGGTCGGCGAGAGAGGCGTGGATGCATGATGGCCGGTGAGAGGCATGACAACTACGACATGGCATCCTGGTGGTACTACAGGGTTAGTTGCCAGTGATCCTTCTTCCTTGCTCCTGTAACTCACACTTTCTCGTCGTAACATCGTTCCTCTCTTCCCCATCCTCCCTGCCCCCGTGTCCCTCCAAATACATTACCCCCACCCTTGGCTCCCCCCTTTCTGGTCAGCCTACAGCCTGGTGAGGCAGCGGCCAGTGGCAGTGATAGGGCCACACACATCAGAACAGGCAGCACTCGTAAGCCCCTTCGCCACGGCCACTCAAGTGCCCTTCGTGTCTGCCTCGGCCACCGACGCACAGCTCACAGTGGGCGGCACCAGGCCCTTCTTCATGCGCACCGTTCAGGACGACGGCCACCAGATGCGCGCCATTGCTGGTATGCTGCACTGCACTCTTGCTCTCCCATTTCTGCTGTAGCTTCCTGCACTGCCTTGTGTCTGCAGCTGTTGGTTACTACTGCACAGCTCACAGTAAGCAGCACCCCCCTCTCCCCCCCCCTTCCACCACCACCCACCTCCCTTCTTCTTATGCACTCGTTCCTATGCTCGTTGTCATCCATTGCCATCTTTATTGCTGATGCCACACCCGTCCTTCCTTGCCCCAGAAACACCACCAACATTCTGGCAATATACCAGTGGAAAGCATTTACCGCCATTCACAGCGACGACCGGTACAGAGCTGGAGATCTCATAAACTTGCTACAGACTGTGGTTGACCCCCTGACCCTTCCTCCTCTATTCCCCCCCCAACACCACAGACATTCTGGCAATATACCAGTGGAGGGCATTTATTGCCATTCACAGCGACGACCGCTATGGAGGCAATGGCATCACCGCACTGGAAGCATGTGTGCTCAGCCTGAACGTGAGCATCATCATCCATTATCTTTCGAAAACTCTCAAAACTCAACCGAGTATGCCATATGCCGGAATGGACTCCCATCCCGCACCAGACTGTGCGCTGGAAGCATGCGTGCTCGCACTCAACGTGAGCATCATCATCCATTTCCTTTTGAAAACTCTCGAAAGGCAGCTCGTCAATCCAGTATAGCAGCCAATCCCATCTCCCGGCCGTTCCCTGCCCTGTCCCCCATCCCTGCCTTCCCTTTTGAGGCACCTCAATTCAAAAGGCAGCACGGCGCTGGAAGCATGCATGCATGCTTGCACCTGACGTGATCATCCAGCACTCCAACCCAGCCCTATCATGAGTCGTGTTGAAATCACCTTTGAGAATTCTCAAGAGCTGGAAGCATGCATGCATGCATGCTTGCGCCGACGTGAGCATCCAGCACTCCAACCCAGCCCTCTCTCCCTTCCAACTCTTCCGACTCCCCCACCTTCCACATAACCCTCCCCCCTTCCTGATCCCCAGCAAGGCATCAGCATGGCTCATCGCATGACCCTCCCCCCTTCCTGATCCCCAGCAAGGCATCAGCATGGCTCATCGCGTGGCCATCACTCCAGGGAGCACAGCAGCAGAGGTGGAGCAGCATCTGCAGCTTCTACTAGAGGTGGACACGGCTGTGTATGTGCTGCACGCGTCCGCTGCTGTTGCCACGAGCGTCATCCTGGCAGGTGCGTGTGGATTCATGTGAGTCGCTTAGAACTCACACAGTAGCAGCGCCTGCAGGAGCTGTTGGAGGTGGATATGGCTGTGGGCGTGTTTTGAGGCGCCTCAAAAGTCGCAGTAGCAGCGCCTGCAGGTGCTCTTGGAGGTGGATATGGCTGTGGGCGTATTTCACGCATCCGCTGCTGTTGCCATGGCGGTTATGCTTGCTGGTGCGTTGAAGAGTGTGTGTATGTTAGCGAGGGGGGGAGCGAGTGAGGTACTTATTGGGAGAAAGTGTGAGTGAGTGAGGAAGAGGATTTTCATTGTTTCCCCACCTACCTTCCCTGCTGCCCCCACCTTCCTCCACTGCTGTCCGTCTTCCCCCCTGTCTGCCTGCCTGCCTCCTTCCATTGTATGTGTGTGCATGTGCAGCGAATAGGTTGGGTCTGTTCTCTGCCAACAACGTGTGGATTGCAACAGAAGGGAGTGCACTGCTCACTGGCTCTGCCCTGCACTACGCTCAGGTCTGCTGGTCTCATCCACGTTGGTTTTCCCACAATGGTTTGGTCCTTTCGTTGGCCTACTGTCTGCTTTTGAGTCGACTAAAAACCGTCCCTCTCCACGTTTTTCCCACAGTGGTTTGGTCCTTTCGTTGGCCTACTGTTTGTTATTTCCCACACGTGTGGCCAGTCAGTTTGAATTTTATTAGCATAAGCTGTTCCCCAGGTTCGGTATTATGTTACCTTTTGATGTAATGGCTCTCTTCTCCACAATGCTCCCTTCGCCTACATTGCTTTCTCACTATGCTTCCCCCCTCGATCAATGAATCTCTGAATCACCCCCCCTGCCTTCTTCCCCAACTTTCCTTGCCACTAGTAGGGCATGATAGTGATGGCTACTGACATCCATTATTTTAGGCGCCTAAAGGCAGTGCCCTCCTCCTCCCCCGTTTCCTGGCAGGGCATGATAGTGACGGCTACTGACATCCCCACCTCCGCTCCTCTGACTACCTTCGTCTCAAAGTGGCTCAAACTTGACCCTGTGCGCTTCCCCAACGTCAGCCGCCAGGTGTGTGTGTGTGTGTGTGTGTGTGTGTGTGTGTGTGTGTGTGTGTGTGTGTGTGTGTGCGTGTGTGTGTGTGTGTGTCTGTGTGTGTGTGTGTCTGTGTGTGTGTCTGTGTGTGTGTGTGTCCCCATCTTCCTCCACCCCCTTTCTTTCATGCTGTTGCACATCGCTATGTTTTTCTCATCCCCAATGCTTCTCTCTTTCCCACCTTCCCCTGCTGCACCTTCCCCTGCTGCACCCTTCGGGCCTTCCCCCTGCTGCACCCTTCTCCCCATGCTCCAGATGCCTATGGCCTATGCACTGGCTTCCCACGATGCAGTCTACCTCATCGCTCACGCTCTACACTCGATCCTCTATAACAGCAGCCCCGCCAGCAGGAGCAACTCGCCATCTTCTAACACCGCTACCAACAACACAGAACCGCACAGCAACGTCACGGCTCTACTTGACTCACCCTGGCCACGCCTCCGTTTGACTCTCTCCAGCAGCAGCAGCAGCAGCAGCAGCAGCAGCAGCAGCAGCAGCAGCAGCAGCAGCAGCAGCATCAGTGGTGCTGAGCCAGATCTTATCCCTCCTCTAGCATCACTCCAAAGAAGCCCTTGTGAGAACTCTCTCTGTGCCCTTTGTTTGTGCCCACCTGCGCCGCATCAGCAGCATCAGTGGTGCTGAGCCGGCCCTTATTCCTCCTCTAGCATCACTCCAAAGAAGCCCCTGTAAGAACTCTCGGCTCTTTCCCCTGCTCTCCCTTCCCTCCCCCACCCTACCCCTCCTCTCCCCCCCCCCACCTCCCCCTTCCCTTCCCCTTTTGTGGCTTCTCCCTTCACATCCCCTCCACCTGCTAACAACTTGCTCTCTGTTACATGCTGTCGGGTTCCCCAACTCCTCCACAGCCTCCCCCTCCTTCCTCCCCTTCACCACCACCACCTCTCCCCTCACATCCACTTCTAGTTCCCATACGCAGTCTTTCATACCAGTATCCCAAGTTCACATACCCAGCTCTCCCCTCCCGACCCCCCCTCCCAATCCCCTCACTCCAGTGGGCCGCATGCATGTTGTGAGCAACCACGATCGTGGGCGAAGCAAGCACCACCATCGTATAATTCAACTCAATTCTCATCTTTTCTCCTCACAACAATCCCTTCCACTCCCCCAACTGCCCGACTCCAGTGGGCCCCTGGGCGCATCAGGCAGCATTGCGCTGTCCCCCTGGGGAGACCAGCAGAGCAACCTCACACGCATCCTCAACATCTACCACAGCCAAGCCTCATGCTCTCCCCTCCCAACCCTGCCTTCTAACCCCCTCACACTCCAGTGGCCGCCATGCTGCGAGCAGCCATGCTGCAAGCCACGTTTGAGGGCGCGTCAGACACCATCTTGCGGCCCCCCTGGGGATGGATTATAAGTCAACTCATAAATCATCTCCACTTACACCTAACCCCACCTCTCCCAACCCCTTACTCCAGTGGGCTCCTTGCTGCGAGCAGCCATGCTGAGAACTACGTTTGAGGGTGCATCAGGCACCATCTCGCTGTCCCTCTGGGGGTGGTTCTTGAGTCGCCTCACAAAGCATCTTACCCCAACAAACCCTTCCCGTCTCAAACCCCCCAACCCCCTGCAGTGGGCCCCATGCTGCGAGAAGCCATGCTGAGAAGGACATTCGTTGGCGCATCAGGGACTATCTCTCTGTCCCCCTGGGGCGACCAGCAGAACAACCTCACTCGCATCCTCAACATCCACAGCCAAGCCACTGACCAGTCACCTCAGTCAACTCAGTCAACAAAGTCAGCAGAGTCAACACCGTTCACTACGGATGCCGCTGGTTCAGTGACTGGGTTATTGAGCCTGCGAGGGAACGTGGAGGTGGTGCCTGTGGGGTACTGGTCTCCCTCGCGCCGCCTCTATCAAACAGCAGCTGCTTTGGTGAGCGCTCATGAGTGCAGCTACAGGAACTGCAACTGGATGCAGGAGTCTTTGGTGAACCGTGAATGCAGTGCGATCCGGAGGTGGTGTGCTTGTAAAAGGCTGTCCTTGTAAGCAGCAGCTGCTACATTTAGAGCTTGAGATGGAACGGAGGAACTGCGAATGGAGCAGGAGTGTTGGGTGAGTGCAGTGCAGTGCGGAGGTGGTGTGCCCGTGGGAGGCTGCTCTATCAAGCAGCATCTGCTTCATCTAGGGAACCTCAAACGGTCATGGTTTCATTAGCAGTTTGGGCAAAATCCTCGGGTTTTTTTTTTAATTTTATTTTCAGAAGCCAACTGTACTGGACCCTGGCTGGATGTAGAAGCGGTCATGGTGTGACGGCGGTTGGAGAGGAGCCGGTGCGACGGCAGCTGAAGAGGGGTCGGTGTGACGGCAGGCAGTGTGACTGGCTGGAAGTAGTAACGGTCACAGTGGTTGCTTGCTGCGTGTCCTTGAGATGAGATGGTCTGGTGCATGTGTTCTGTGAGGCGGCGCAATGCACAATTCCACTCAACTCGGCTGCTGTGTTGTGCATTGCTCTCAATCTAGTCTCCCTTGTCCTGTGTTGCTCGCTTGCTAGGCCTATTCAGTCCCCCTTGTTTTTCTTGTGTTTCGGTCACACTGCAGGAAAATGCAACAGCTAGTGGAGGGGAATCGGTCAAGATTATCTTCCCTGGTGGTCTGACACAGGTGCAGGCTCAGCTGTTGAATGGACAGCACCGCACTGCACAGCACTGTGGTGCATATCTCCCTGTCGGTGTACCTCATATTAAAACCCGTCATGCAGCTTATCAGTTGCTTTATTGTTCTCCATGAGATTTTTGAAACATCCCTTTGCCTTCTGTCTTCACAGCTAGCAGCTTATCTTTGCATTCAATACACAACTCATGGCACGGTACTTGCTCCGCTCGAAGCCATGGAAGGCGCTTCAAGCGTACCATGCGTATGAAGAAGTGTTTTGAGATGTCTCAAAACACTTCTTCATACATTCAGTACACAACTCATTGCACGGTACTTGCTCCGCTCTGTGTCATCATGGAACGAGCTTCAAGCTGACCATGCGCTCACTCTATGTCTTGGGTGGTTTTGATTCCACTTCATCCATTCATCATCATTTCGAGTCTCGTACCCATTCTCAGCTTTCGAAAGATCCCTTTCATAGGCTTTTGTTTCACTCATTTAAACATAATTTGAACCCCCTCTTCTCTTGCATTTCCCAGGCTCCCACAGGAGCCTTTCCGAAACGGCGAGTTCGTATCGCGGTGCCAAAGAAGCTGGTAAGTAAGGTCTGCTCTTTGTTGCAGCATCCTGTAGGTGGGTATCGTTCCATTCTGCTTGGCTTGGCTTGGCTTGGCCTTTCCGACTCCCTCCGTTCTCCGTGCACGTGTTTCCTAATACCACCTCCCCAGATCCACCTGCAATTCGTCAATATCTCTGCAGACAAGTCGCTGCGCAGCGTGCGTTTATTGAGCTTCCTCGAAATCTTTCGGTGCATGTGCCCCTTCATGCCTCCTCCCCCAAATCTACCTGCAGACGAGTCGCTGGGCAATGAGCGGCTCTGGGGCTACCGTGTTGGGTGGACCTGTTCCGCCTGGCCGTGGCCCGAAATCTATCACCAATGCCTGCTTTTGCTTTTGAGTCGACTCAAAACCCGAAATCTATCTCCAGCTCACCAATGTCCGCTTTTGCTTTTGAGTCGACTCAAAACCCGAAATCTATCTTCAGCGCACCAATGTCTGCTTTTGAGTCGACTCAAAACCCGAAATCTATCTCCAATGTCTGGGGCTCACCAATGTCTGCTTTTGAATTTTGAGTCGACTCAAAACCCGAAATCTATCTTCAGCGCACCAATGTCTGCTTTTGAGTCGACTCAAAACCCGAAATCTATCTCCAGCTCACCAATGTCTGCTTTTGAGTCGACTCAAAACCCGAAATCTATTTCCAGATCACCAATGTCTCTGCAGGAGAATCGAATCAGCAGCGCCTGGGTTTCTTTCTAGACGCCTAAATCTCCCTCTGTGCCTGTCTCCCCTGATACCCCCTCCCCCAGATCTACCTGCAGTTCGCCGATTTTTCAGGGGACGAGTCGCTGGCAACGCATGGTTGTTGAGGAACCTCATGAATTCTCTGTTCCTTTGCCCCCTGATACCTCCTCCCCCAGATCTACCTCCAATTCGCCAATATCTCAGCGGACGAGTCGCTGGGCAACGAGCGCTTCTCCGGGTACTGTGTGGACCTGTTCCGCCTGGCTGTGGCCCATCTCCCTTATAAGCTCGACTACGAGTTTGTAGAGTACACGGGTGCCCTCATCAGCTACACCCAGATGGTGCAGGCTGTACAGAATAAGGTGAGGTTATTATGTGTTGCAGAGTGGGATGCAGAGAGGAGGACAGAGAGGAGTGCAGAGGGGAAGGCACGAGAGTGAATCACAATTCTACTCTATCCTATCGTCGCTCCACTCCTCTCATCCTATCGTCTCTCACTGCACTTCTCGTGTACTTCCCGTCCGTTTGCTGCTCGCTAAGAATTATGCCACAAGACCAGATCACTCCACTCCTCTCATCCTATCACCTCTCACTGCACTACTCGTCCCACTGCCCGTCCCCAACCCTCACCCCATTGGCTGACCACCAGAGCAAATCGTATCCCAATTCAACACGTAATGCCTTCCTTCCTGCACCTCTCATGTAATCGTCTCTCATCTCACCGCCCGGCACACAGGAGTTTGATGGGGCAGTGGGCGACATCACAGTGGTTGATTCGCGGCAACGAATGGTCTACTTCACCCAATCCATCCTTGTATGTGCGTGTGCCTCGTATGTGCTTGGGTCGACTCAAAAGGCATCGTTGTATTTTCGTGCGCAATATAGTGAGCACGAGAGGAAGGGGAGGGGGAGAGGGAGAGCGCCGTTCTAGGCTGGTTTTCCAGTCAGCTCCTCAAACTAATTCACTCAATCCATCCCTGCTTGTATGTGCCCTCTTATTCTAGTCAATGCAAGCAATTACTGTTGATTCAGCTCATATCTATCCTCGTTACCTCGTATGTGCCTGTATACTTCAAGTGAGTACGATAGACAGCTTTTGGATCTCCAAATCACCCTTTCCGCGGGGCGGTCTGAGCCGCTTGTATTGCACAACAATACTCTATGCAAAGGAGAGCAGCCTCCTGTCTTTGGTTTTGGATATTCTCACATACATACATCCCCCCACTCCCTAAACCTCTTTCCTCGCAGCAATCCGGCCTGAGTCTGATAGGGTACTCCAGGGAGAGCAGCGACATGTGGACGGCGTTTCTGCCCTTCACGCCCTCCATGTGGGCCACCCTGCTCGGTCTCTCGCTGCTCACAGGCGCGCTTATGGTGTTCCTCGAGTGGCGGCTGAACGTGCACTTCCAGGCAAAGCTGCACCAGCTCGCCATCACTGCCGCATGGTGAGAGGGGATGCGGTGAGGTGGAGTGAGGTGGATCTCCCCTCCCTCTCTCTGCTCACAGGCGCGCTCATGGTGTCTCTCGAGTGGGGGCTGAACCAGGCGTAGCTGCACTTCCAGGCGTAGCTGCACTTCCAGGCGTAGCTGCACTTCCAGGCGTAGCTGCATTTCCAGGCGTAGCTGCACTTCCAGGCGTAGCTGCATTTCCAGGCGTAGCTGCATTTCCAGGCGTAACTGCATTTCCAGGCGTAGCTGCACTTCCAGGCGTAGCTGCACCACTCCCGTTGATAACTGCACCACTCCCGTTGATAGCTGCGAATGTTCCTCTGCGTGCGCACACACTCCATTTGTCCCATCTCATCTGCAAGGACGGATGATGCTGCTGCCTGCATGACTCATCCTTGCTACACACACACGCACACATTCTCGCTGCTGTCATTGCTCACATCTGCTTGCTGCTTCTTGTGTATCCCTTCGGTCCTGTGGCAGGTTTGGCCTTCACACTCTCTACTCCGTTATAGGTAGGGCCTTTTGCCCTGCAGGTTTGCCTTGAGAACTTGCCTTAAGTGAAGGAAAGAAATTCACATTCTCCACTTGATTAATGCAGGCTCGTCGTGGTGGCGTTTTTATTTACCAAATACCCCTGACCCTGATATGCGGGCAGGCCTCACCTTCTCTGTTCCGTTTGACGAAGGAGCCTTTCTATGTGGTGACTTTTTTTGTCGACTCGCGGGCCTGTCTGCTGCCTTTTTCTCCTCCGAACTCCCACCCACGTCTTGGTCATGTCTCTCTCTCTCTCTCTCTCTCTCTCTCTCTCTCTCTCTCTCTCTCTCTCTCTCTCTCTCTCTCTCTCTCTCTCTCTCTCTCTCTCTCTCTCTCGAATGGTCCTTGCATTTCTTTGGGGGGTGGTACAACGGAAGGTGCAAAACACACAAGCACAAGCTCAACAGAAAACCGGCATCCTAACTATTCCAAGTCCCCTACCTACTCTGCCCCCCCCCCTGTCCGACCCTAGTGGTCGAACGGGGCCTCAATCAACTGGTGCAGCTGTCCCTCACTGAGAGGGATGATGGGTCCTCTAAAACCGAGCTCGTCTGCCGCCAAGGCCTCATTGGTCTTGGTGCGGAGGGCGTTGGCCTGTGCCCGCTGGAGGCACACGCTCCAACGCTGGCGGTACTCCGTCAGAAGCTTCGCTGCTTCGTAGGAGGTAGGGGCTGCGTTAAACCGCAGCTTTGCCGCCAGCTCCGCGCATTGCCGCAGGTAAGCCAGCACCCCCGGCGAGGGGTAGCCGTATGTTTCCACTGCGAGCGCGTGGAACCCCACCCACGTGTTCCGCCGTGCGTACTTCTCCTCCTTTTTTGCCGCTGCCGCCCTAGCTGCCCAACCAGGAGCTCGGTTGCAGTTCTCGTCCTGGTATGACATCGGGTCCGTCATGGTCACGTCGCACATCCAAACCTCCCCGGTCAGTGGATGACGGATGGTGACATCCGCCTTTAGGTTTTCAACCAGTGAGTAGACATACGTCTCCTTATGAACCGTAAAACCCGCCTCAGCCCCGATATTTGCTATCTCATCCCGCAGAGCGTGATGGGTAGCGGTCCTCCCTTTCCCCTTCTCGCAGCGCATGAGGTGGTTGGGGAGGCGGTCGTCGGGGAAGGTGGTGCGGTAGCGGCAGTCACAGCGTCTAGGCACTGGGAGGGGGAGGCCTAGGCGGAAGGCAGCTGCAGTTGAGAGCTGGGAGGGGCCCATTCGGAGCGAGGGGATGAGCGGGATCGCCAGCAGCCAATCCCCCGCTCCTGGGCCTAGCACCGACTGCATCCGTTGCGCATTGCCTGAAAGGGGGTTGGGGCGCATCCGCCTTGCCTCGCGCATGGCCCTCAAGAAGCGGCGGGAGTGAACCGCCAGCGCTAGGCTCTGCTGTAGCTTCAGTCCCTTGGGGTCTGTCTTCCCGGCCTGGAGCACCTCGAGAGCCTCGGGTGGGAGAGCTGCCTCAGCCGCGGCGAGGCGTGCAGGCAGCGCGTGCGGGGAGCCGTGGGTAGGGTCCAGTAGGGGGAGGAGCGCGGCGACAGCAGGGTGTAACGACTCCTCCAGGGAGTATAGAAGGTGGGCGGCGCTGATCACTGAAGCGAGGTAAGCGTAGCTGCCTTCAACGGCGGGGCCAGTGATGCCCAGGCCTCCCAGAGTCACGGGCAGGGCCGCCTGCCGCCAAATCCTCCGCCTCTCCCGGGCACTCCTCGGTCTCATGATGTGGGCCGAGTCCAGGAAGGTGTGTAGGAGCTGCTCCCCCCAAGCTGACCATTCCGCTTCAGGGAGAGCTTGCAGGGGGGTGGTTCTGGCCAGAAAAGAGGCTCGGCGGCTGACACAGCGGGTGAGGAGGAGGAGGCTAAGCTGGGGGTCCATCTGGGCCAGCAGGGGGAGTGGGGATGCTGCTACTGGGGGAGTGGGGAGGCTAAGCTGGGGGTCCATCTCTCTCTCTCTCTCTCTCTCTCTCTCTCTCTCTCTCTCTCTCTCTCTCTCTCTCTCTCTCTCTCTCTCTCTCTCTCTCTCTCTCTCTCTCTCTCTCTCTCTTACATCCTATCATCATGTGTGCTGTGCAGTGTGCTCACATTGCCTAAAATCACATCTTCATCTTCTCTTTCCGTATTTCACAACCTGTCATGCCCCACTGTGTGCAGTCTACTCGATTCGCTCTGTGCTAGCACGAACGGTGCTGGGCATGTGGCTCATTCTCGCATTCCTATTCCTCGCCTCCTACACCTCCAACCTCACTGCCATTCTCACCATTCAGAGGCTCACGCCCACCATTCTCGTAAGCTCCCCTTCCTACACCTCCCTCCCCCCCAACCCTCCCCACCCCATCACCCCCCCTCCCTGTGCTGTGCTGTGATTTCTCTCTTCGTTCTATGCCTCTCCGTTTTTCGCCCTTCGCCCTTCGCACTACCTCCATCCCTTCGCCCCTCGCCCTCCCTGCCTTTACCACCTGTCCCCCACCTCTTCCTCCTCTTGCCACTCCCCCACGCCCCATCAGGACATCACCACAGCCATCAACAGCAACGCCGCCATTGGCTACCAGCAGGCTTCCTTCGTGGCTTCCTACCTGCAGCAGCTGGGGGTCTCTCCGGTATTGCACACTTGTTTCTTGTACCTTACCTTGTGTGGATCCGGTGCTGCTGCATGCTTCTGGTGCTGCTGCATGCTTCTGGTGCTGCTGCATGCTTCTGGTGCTGCTGCATGCTTCTGGTGCTGCTGCATGCTTCTGGTGCTGCTGCATGCTTCTGGTGCTGCTGCATGCTTCTGGTGCTGCTGCATGCTTCTGGTGCTGCTGCATGCTTCTGGTGCTGCTGCATGCTTCTGGTGCTGCTGCATGCTTCTGGTGCTGCTGCATGCTTCTGGTGCTGCTGCATGCTTCTGGTGCTGCTGCATGCTTCTGGTGCTGCTGCATGCTTCTGGTGCTGCTGCATGCTTCTGGTGCTGCTGCATGCTTCTGGTGCTGCTGCATGCTTCTGGTGCTGCTGCATGCTTCTGGTGCTGCTGCATGCTTCTGGTGCTGCTGCATGCTTCTGGTGCTGCTGCATGCTTCTGGTGCTGCTGCATGCTTCTGGTGCTGCTGCATGCTTCTGGTGCTGCTGCATGCTTCTGGTGCTGCTGCATGCTTCTGGTGCTGCTGCATGCTTCTGGTGCTGCTGCATGCTTCTGGTGCTGCTGCATGCTTCTGGTGCTGCTGCATGCTTCTGGTGCTGCTGCATGCTCGTAGCTTGTCGCGTTGCTGCTGCATGAAACGAAATCTCTACCTCCTCCCTGTGAACCTTCTTTGCTTCCTTCCTACCTGCTGCACCTGGGAGTCTCTCCGGTATAGCATATTTGTTCTACCATGTGGATCTGCTGCTGCTGCATGCTTGGAGATTGTCGTGTTAATATTTCATGCATGCGACAAATACCTCTCTCTTCTGAACCTTTTCGTCTCCTCCTGCCTGCTGCTGCCATGGGTCTCTTCAGTCTCGCATGCTCATGCCTTGGGGTTCTTCGTCTGCACATCTTTAGCCTTTGCGCTGCATGTGGCGTGGCTTTGCTGCTGCGTGGTCATGGCTCGCCCTCTCCTCTGCCTCAACCTTTGCGCTGCTGCTTTGTGTCCCGTCACTTCCCCTCTCTCTACACACCCCCGGAACGCCATCAGGACAAGCTGGTGGTGTTGAGTGGGGAGAGCGAGTATGCATCGTCACTGGCATAGGACGATAGTGGCAGTGATAGTGGACGAGGGCCGCCACCTCAACCTCTTCTCCACGGCACCTCTTCCTTCCCCCGCTTCTCTCCTTCCCTCCCCCTCCACACACCCCCGGAATGCCATCAGGACAAGCTGGTGACGTTGAGTGGGGAGAGCGAGTATGCATCGTCACTGGCATGGGGGAGGGTGGCAGTGATAGTGGACGAGGGCCCCCACCTCAACCTCTTCTCCACGGCACCTCTTCCTTCCTCCGCTTCTCTCCTTCCCTCCCCCTCCACATACCCCCGGAACGCCATCAGGACAAGCTGGTGACGTTGAGTGGGGAGAGTGAGTATGCATCGTCGCTGGCATCGGGGCGGGTGGCAGTGATAGTGGATGAGAATCCGTACCTTGCTGTCTTCACATCGCACTTCTGTGACGTCATGCACGCCCAACAGCCCTTCTCCTCCCTCAACCTCGCCTTTGTACGTGCGTCTGCCTGCCGAGTTTGAGAGAAAGAACGTATCATAAACTCACCCGCAAGTTGTGTGGTGCGACTGTTTGGCCTTGTCCTCTTGCGCGTGTTCTCTGCTCGCCTTCTTCACAAACCGGCTACAAGGCCTTTCCTGGAAATCTCTTTTGAGAACTCTCAAAGGCGTTCGCCCTCCTCACAGACTACTCAAAGGCGCTCCGGAAAGGCACCGAATTGGGAACCAACATCCCAAGCAATGAGACGTCTCAAAACAAAACCTCCCGCTCGCTCCCCACAGGCTTCCGAGAAGGGCTCCGCACTGGTCCCTGACAAATTCAAAGCATCTTGGCGCTGTGGCTCTCAACCCCCCCCCACCTTCTGCTCAGGCTTTCCAGAAGGGCAGTTCCCTGGGCCAGGACATCGCAAACGCCATTGGTGCGCTGCGCATGACACAGTACAGGAGGGTGCATTGTTCCTGTATGGGGAGTGACAAATAAGAGCCCCTCTGCGCTGTGGCTTTCACCCTCCTGCTCCCCGACAGGCTTTCCAGAAGGGCAGTGCCCTGGGCCACGACATCTCTAATGCCATTGGTGCGCTGCGCATGACACAGGAGGTGGAGAAGCTTCATGCCAAGTACTTCAGTGTAAGGCCGCCTGCATGATCCAAGTGCTGCCACATCCGCCACACCTGCCACGCGGCTTCATATTAATCAGTGCTCATCCATCACCTGCCCCTTTCTCCAGGCACTCTGCCTTAGCACTCTGCTGTCCCATTTCCGTGCTTTTTTTTTTTTTTACTTCGAGAAAATCTCTTACAGTGACTTTTTATGCATTATCCATCCTTCCTCACCCTGTCGTCGCCCTTTCTTCTCCTTCCCCTCCTTCCTTTTCCTTCCGCTTTCAGTCTGAGAGCGTCTGCCCTCAGAAGACCACTGCGGTGCAGTTCGGTATACAGCGGTTCGGAGGCCTGTACATCATCTACCTCGTCGTCTCTACAGCCTGCTGTATCATCTATGTTGCGCTCCTCATCTACCGCGGTTACCGCTACGTGCGGGAGAAGGGTGTTCAGTCACTAGTGGACAAGGTCAAGAGCTTTGGCAGGGAGCCGCCCGGCGGCAGCACTGAGGAAGGCGTTGACCTGGTTGACTCTGAAGACTCTCTTGGCTCTGACAAGGACCGCTTTGGCCCCCTGCCTGGTTCCCAAATGAGCAGAGGGAGCACTGGGAGAGGAAGCAGAGGGAGCTTGGAAAGTGGAGAATTACGGGAGAGCATTGGTAGTGGGAGCATGAGAGAGAACAAAAGAGGAAGTATGAGTGAGAGAGGTAGTGGGAGTTTGAGAGAAAGAAGTAGAGGTAGTATGAGAGAAAGCAGTAGAGGGATTATGAGAGAAAGCAGTAGAGGGAGTATGAGAGAAAGCAGTAGAGGAAGCATAAGAGAAACCAATAGGCAGAGTATGAGAGAAATCAGTAGTGGGAGTATGAGAGAGAGCAGCAGGTGGGCAGCAGTTGAGCAGCCGGCAAGAGATGAGGAAACAACCAAGTCAGATGCTCCATTGCCTCTCCTCTTCTCAACATCCCCCTTGCTCCGTGCTCGGTCCTTCATTGCCCCGCTTCACATCAATCCATTCTCCTCTTCCTCCCTGCACTCGTCCCTTGGGGTGCCTCACAACACCATCACCTCCTCTCCATCCTCCCTCTCTCAGCCGTCCCCCACTGCTCGAGCAGCCTCCTTACCTTGCTCCAACCCAGCAGCCCTCCACGCACTCCTGAGCAGCAGCCAGTCTTCTGCCCCAGCTGCTCAGAGCTCGTTTAGTGCTTTGAAGCGAGAAAAGGAGCAGGAGCAGCAGCGGCAGCAGCAGCAGCTGAAGGGGCTTCTAATAGCAGCATCAGCTGGCCGTCGTGCTCCTGCTGCTGCTCCTGCTCCTGCTCCTGCTCCTACTCCTGCTGCTGCTCCTACTCCTGCTCCTGCTCCTGCTCCTGCTCCTGCTCCTGCTCCTGCTCCTGCTGCTGCTCCTGCTCCTGCTCCTGCTCCTGCTCCTACTCCTGCTCCTGCTCCTGCTCCTGCTGCTGCTCCTGCTCCTGCTACTGCTCCTGCTCCTGCTCCTGCTCCTGCTCCTGCTCCTGCTCCTTCTCCTGCTCCTGCTCCTGCTCCTGCTCCTGCTCCTGCCCCTGTCCCTGCCCCTGCTCCTGCTCCTGCTCCTGTTCCTGCCCCTACCCCTTCTCCTGCCTCTGCCCCTGCTCCTGCCCATGCCCCTGCCCCTGTTCTTGCTGCTGTTTCATCATCCAAATCAGCAGCAGCGTCCAGCAGCAGACCACCAAGAATCCCACAGCCCGTCCTCTCCCGTGCATCAGAGTCATCCCTGGGCAGCAAGAGAAGGCGAGGATCTCACGACGGGCAAGAAGATGAGAGCGCTGCAGATGGGTTGAGCAGAGAGAGGGCAGCACATGCCAGTGGAACTTCTCACAGAGAGCCAGTATCCTACAGAGATGGGGTGGCTATTAACGAGCAAGCAGGAGGGAAGGAGGCGGCTGGAGGAGAGGAGCAAGGCAGCAGGGACAAGGAGCATCTCACACCCTCCCATTTTGATACTCACGCCTGCACCAGCCTTGCCACCAGCACTGCTATCAGCCCGAGCAGAAGCAACCATTCAAGCCTCGCCTCCCAGCCAAGCAGTGGCACCAACTCAAGCGCAGCCTCTCGGATGTTGAAACTTCCCAGGCTGACTTCAATCGTCCCCCGTCTGCCCTCTGCTGAAAACACTTTCCCCACAAACCGCTCTCTGCCCTCCTCTACGGTCCCCACGCGGCCGCCATTTGAACTCCCCGCTCTGCCGCCCGTGTCCACTCTGCCGGCCTTTTCCAGCCTGCCGTCGCTGGGCTCCATTGACTTGCCAAGAATGGAGTCCTTTCACACCAAGGTGGACAGCCTTGTGGATAAATTTCACAAGGTGAGTTCCCAAGGTCATTCGAGGCGCCTCGAACTCAAAGCAGCCTTTTGGATAATTTTTACGAGGTGAGTTCACAATGTCATTAAAAGAATCTCATTTTGTCCATTGATTCGCCAGGCTATTAGCATCCAAACCTCGAGTAGAGGGCTGCTCCTGAAGCTGCTGACTTTAGTGTGTTTCGTTTGAGGTCCCCTGTTTCATTTCGCTCTTCCTGTTTCCTTCTTTCTTTCTTTCCGTTCTTCCCTGGTTTTCCTATGGCAGGGCAAGGAATGGAGCAGGGAGAGGCACCTGTCGGCCTACAACGCTCAACCACAGCAGAGCACCACAGCATTTGAGTTCCGATCGGCCTCTGCCTCTTCTGCTCACAGCCTTGCCTCACCTGCCTCTTCTGCTCACAGCCTTGCCTCACCTGCCTCTTCTGCTCACAGCCTTGCCTCACCTGCCTCTTCTGCTCACGGCTTTCCATCACCTGCATCTTCGATCGCCTCTGAAAGCCCATCAGGGCTGCAACGAAAGGCCGCTCTTTGTGGCACTGCTCGATCGGTGTCGTTTGCACCGTTGCATGTCTCAGCATATGCACGATCCCATGCTGCATCACGCGCACCATCACATGCACCATCACGCGCACCGTCACATGCATCATCACACGCACCATCACATGCACCATCACGTGCACCATCACATGCACCATCACGTGCACCATCACATGCATCATTCCATGGGGCATCTGGTGCAGGACCAGGTGCAGCATCCAGGAGACCATCAAGTGCAGGAACAAGCACAAGCAACATCCCACCTTCCTGCAAGTCCAGTCACCCCACACAGCAACTGCCTCCAAAACCCCCCGCTCAAGCTCACATTCATCCCTCTTCGGACCATCCCATGCCTCCAACATCCATCCCACCTACTCAAGGCCCAATCGGCAACGCCCTGATTGGTCAATGTCTTAGTGGCCATTCACCTGGTCTTCCAACTGGCCACCCACCACCTGAGCGTCCACCTGAGCGGCCACCTGGGCAGCGGCGGCCTGTGTCAGTGATGGCGCGGCGGCAGCAAGCGTCGTGGAAGGTGCAGGTGCAGTACTCGCCACGGGCCCGGAGGAGAGTGAAAGCTGCTGCTCTCATGAAGACCAACACACAGGTGCGGACAAGGATTGCACAAGACAGGTGAGGCCAGGATGCCGTGTGAGTGAGACTGCGGTGATGTGAGGGATGCTTGCTCTCGGGTGAGAAAGTCGGAGATTAGAGAAGAGGGCATATGTGTGATATGCGATCCTTGATTTTTTACCTCTCCTTCCATTTGCTTCTTAACTTGCTACTACGCATGGCAGTATTTGAAGTGCAATTTTCTTATGACCTTACAAATATGTAAATATACTAGTTAACGTTATTAACACTATTAGAGAGGCGTAGCCGCATTCATGGCTTCAGGGGGTGGTGTGGGGGACATATTTTGTCCTGAAATGTGAAGTAACGCAGTGAGGGAGTGGTGTGTTGGGTGATTTAATTCCCCATGAGGATGGAAACATGAGACCTCATGAGTATGAAGTCATTGTATTGACACTGTAAAAGTCTTTGGGCTGGTCCTATACAATTATCCTGTGACGCGGTTATGGTGTACTTGTGTCCTGCCACCCGGGTGCGATCAGGGGGTGTACACCTAGCCCGCGCCAATTTCACACCCCGTCAGCTTGGCTAAAGCCCATTTGAACGGTTTTTGGCTTTGGAGATCAGACACCCAAGGAACTAGAGGCTATCCGTGGCATTGTAAAGTGTCGATGCTGTGAAAGCGTAACTTGGTGACCGCAACGTAAAGACTGGATTTTTCGCTGTGACCATCTATTTAATATCCCGCTGACTCTTAAGCGGAGTCTGAATCGTTAATTCCTTAAAACCAAACTGTTCGAAACAACCCTCAATTTCCGGACAAATCAGGAACGAATACATAGAGGTGTGAAATTGGAGGGTGTGAAAATACCGCGGACCATGTGCAATTCAGTGTGCAAGAATCAGTAGCATTCCTACGCGGTTCAGTGTGCAGTTATGATGGGGCATCTTGATCCCTACGGTGAGGCTGGTTGTTTTTTATGCTCCACGTGGGGCGTTGACTATGCACTCCAGTGTCCGTTTGTACAGCTGTCGACGCTGTTTGTACAGCTGTAATACTGTAGAGCTTGGCAAGTTGTTTGACGTAATTTCTTTCAGGCTCGGTCCTCACCCTCATCCTCATCCTCAGTTCCCTTGGTGATCGGATCGAAACAGTTTTAGTCCAGACGCGGTTTTCGTACAGTAAACATTTTGCTCGATTTTTTCCGAAACTCAAATGTCCTGTTATTACTACCAAGAAATGCTTAGCTCGACAAGAATTTTCCAGTTCGCCAACATTCTTCCGGGTACTACAATCGATTCTCAGCCTATCACGAAACATTTGCCCGCAGAATTAGAAATTTAGTCACTCGCGAACGTTTTGCCTGTGAGTGACTAAATTGACCATTGTGCCGATTTCGGGCTACAGTCACCAAGTTGAGGAAGAAAAACATCTACAGTACATAAACAGCAACGGTTGCCCGTCATCAGAGAAGTTAACCTGGTTACAACACTTAAGCCCTTAACTCGATTCACGTTGCAATTTCATGTTACTGTCACATTTTTGCCCGTGGCGACGAGGGCGAACATGGCGAAAAGCCAAAACTCTTTTTTGCGCACATGCCGCCCGCTTACCTGGTGTTCTCGAAATGGGCACCGACTGTATCCCGAGGGGAAAAGACACCCGATCAGATTCGACCCGATCAGCTCAGAGCCGATCGGAATCGATTGGGCCCACGTAAACAACAAGGGTTGCCAGTTGCATATGTCACCTAGCCCGCGCCAATTTCACACCCCACGGAGTAGGGCGGCCGCTTGTTCTATTCACCGACCACGTCTGCACCTTGCCTCAAAACCAGGGACCCTGGCCCAGGTGACGACAAGGGGGTGTGAAAAAGGGGGGGTGTGAAAATACAGTACAGTTCCAATTTAGAACGTCAAAACTCGTTTCAATTGATGCCTCCCGGCTACACATGATGCCCCTTTCGCTCCACTTCCCCATCTTTCATTTTGCTCCTGTCTCGCACTCGCGTCAATCAGGGGCAAATTGGGCGTCTTCCTAGGAGTGTGGTTACAATTTAAACTACAGTTCCAATTTTACGGGTAGCCTCGAGTGTTTTGCATAAAAAAAATTGGCTAACTTATTCGCGGTCAGAGTTTTGGGGGCTTTAACATGGGCGTGTAGGCCGTGGTCCGTTCGCTGTGAATGTTGACTGCTGCTCCTGTCGGCTGTCTGTAGGCGTGTTGGAAGTGGGCCGTTTTGCGGGAATCATGTGTACCTGGTCTTACACATTGTTTCTTGATGTTCTGACAATCAAGAGCCCTCGCTACAATCAGTGCGCACGCTTAGGGTTTATTCTTAGCCCGTGTCAGACATCAGGTCAGACCCGAAGTGGAGGCTCGGAAAACCCGAAGTGGCTCGTTTGTGAGGCAAATCCGAGTTCGGATGAGCAAAATTGGAGACTAAGGGCTTTTGACCTGAAGTCTGACGCGGGCCATGAATACACTCTTAGATTCAGCGGGCTGGTACTTGGAAGCGAACCCGAGGTTGGTGGTGGGCAAATGTTCTCCAGACGACCAACACACAACGGTCTACGAAAGAAACATCGCTAATGCCTACGGTTTAGTACGGGGTAATGTGCTTATATGCTATGTTCTGGTGGGACCGTTTTGGACGCATTGATGTCAGTACAGCCAGCTTGACAATAGAGCGAATGACTGTGTAAAAAATCCAAATAATATTGAAACGAGTACTGGTTGTAGCGATCTTGGATTCGCCAGGTGTACCCCGACCTCAGGCCGTTGCCTTTGCCGAAAGCTAACAACACTCTGACCAGGGCTCTCGATGTGTTTTGGGGAACCCTTCCAAGAACCAATTGTGGCCAGCATTCACCCTGCCAATACAGTGTTCCAAGCACGGCATACTCAAGAAATTACAGGATTTCTCTTCCCTTATCGGGAATGGAAGGAAGTATTTCCGTAACACTTCTAGCTCCGAAGAGTTTTTTGTGTGTGTGAATTAAACCAGAGTCAGTGGAGGTTTGGAAAACTGATGGAGCTGAAGAGGACGCAAGGGGAGAGGTGCGCAATGTTCTCGAAGAGTTGAGAACTTATACCATAGGGGAGGGGGTGTAGGCTAGGGAGTGATTGGGGGGAAGGTAGGGTCAACTTCTAGTTTGGCTTGCTTGACGAATTCCCAGTGGTGTTCGGTGCCGAATTTCCAAAGTGCTTTGGTGACCTAGACAAATGTCTAGTGTCTCTCAGTGACTTCGGCAAATTTTCAGTGTGTTTCAGTGACTCACTGAGTTTATAGCGTTTCAGTGACTCGCCGATTTTTCGGAAGTTTCAGTGTCAATCCAGATTCAAGCGTGCTTAGCCTATTTCGAGAACAAAAGAGCTGGACTCTAGAGGACTTTTTAGCAGGGTCAAAAGTGTTTAGGGTCGGATTCGGCAGGGCTGAAGATTCATGTCAAGCCGTGTCAGGGTGGTATGAACGTCGAAGTCAATTTCAGTAAGGTGACGTAAAACAATATCTGAAAAACAGGCATCGGGTAAACCTTCCTGACTTCCTGGGGCGCCTGACGCTGACAAAGGTTCTTGCCAAGCCTTGCTTCCACCTCACAACGACTTACCTGTGCTTCACAACGCCTTACCAATGCTTCACAAGTCACAGGGGATGCTGCATCTTGTGTAAATTTCTTGTTCCTTCCAATCCAATGACTCCGATATGGAGCTGTAATAACGGTAGCGTGCGTGGCGTGGGACAGAGTGGGACGTCAGTCACATTGGCCAATACGCACCGAGATTGCGTCGGTATTACGGAATGCATACCCACAGGAATTCTACTATTTCTGCGGCAGCACCGGATGGGTGTAATCATCTTTCGCCTCGTCGACTCCGCGAAGCTTCCTCTCGGGCTTTCATTCTCGCGCTACTGTTCGTTATAGTGGAGCTTCGTACAGAGAGTGCGGGAAGCGCCGTCGCGACAGGTTCACGGGCGAAAGCTGGAGAGTACAGGACGTTTCAGTATGCTAACTTCTCAAACAATGTAGGTACTTCTAATCTGACCGACGGATGGGACGTTCCAGAGCGAGTTGCGACGGACGTAACACACTCTGCTATCTCTGATTTCAGCGCTAACTTTCATCTTGACGCTAACGCTGATTCAGATGAAAACGCAGACTTCAATCTGACCGCTAACTCTGATGGGAACCGAGTATTACTCAGTAACGCGAACATCAGCTCTAGCGTCGACGATCACGATTCGAGCAACAACAGCTCTGGCTTCAACGACCACGATGCGAATACGAACGCGAGACCGGCGGTGAGAAGTCTGGCGAGCAACGGCGGGACGAAGAAAGACGCGCGGACGAGTAAGGCGGTGGCGGGAAGAGGATTGATGAAGAGCAAGAGCGGGACGGTGCTGACGGTGGGATGCTTGTTCGCCCCTGACATGCCCGGGGGAGTCGACATGCTGGCCGGTACGCTGCTCCTACTTTTGAGGGCCCCCAAAATTTAAGCAACGCTGATATGGCCTGGTGCGCCCTCCATTCCTCGCCTCTCGTGCCTGGCAATGCGTCCCTCCCACCTCCCTCTTCCCTCCTCCCTCCTCCCTCCTTCCGTCCTCCAAGCTTCCTTTTCATCCAATTTTCGAGACACCTCAAAGCTTGTGCTGCGCGCTCCAACGCCGCTCTTGCCGCCAAATCCTCCTCCCCTTACTTCTCCCATCCGCTCTTTCTCCTTGTCTTTTCATCCTTTTTCCCTTCTTTCTCTCGTCCCATTTCCTTCTCCTCTTCCCACTTCCTCTCCTCTCGTTTTCTTCTCCTCCACTCCTCTCCTTCCCCGTTTCCCGGGCCAGCCTCTGTCATGGCAGTGGAGGAAATTAACGGCGATCCCAGGATCCTGCCAAACCACGTGCTACATCTGACGGTGCAAAACTACTCCATCGCCTCTTTCGGTAGTCAGCTCGCAGGTATGCTGTATTCCCCTTCCCCTCCCGCCCACCGTCCCCTTCTCGTCCCCTCCCCCGCCACGCTGCTTCCTCTCCCCATGTTTCCTTCCCCAATCCCACATCCTCTTCATTGCTAGCCAGCTCGCGGACCCTCCCCTCCCCTCTGCGGAGAGTCACTCAACACCAACAGCTGGACTACGGGAGAAAACAGGGGTGGTAAGAGTGATCGTAGCGTTTGTTCGTGTTCTCTAGACACTTGTGTGTTCATAGGGCAAAAACATCAAGAGTTTCACTAGAAAAAGTTGAGAATAATGATGAAAATTGCAATGGCTACAATGACTACAAAATATGCAAGGCAGCCTAGCAGTCAGGCTTGTCGACCGCAAGCTCATCAAATTTGGCGGCCTGCCAGCACTGCAAGTTGACATCGCGCCAACGCTGTAGAAAGGTGGCTTGCCAACGTAGCAAGTCGGTGGCTTGTCAGCGCTGCACCAAGGCGGCTTGCCAATGCTGCAGCAGGGTGGTCTGCCAGCGTTGCAAACGCAGGTTACAACACATGCGTACACCTAATTCGCAGGTGTTTGTAGGCGGTTGAGCATGACGTGCACTGTCACGCATATCACCCAGATGCCAAGTTGGCCACATGCCAAGTTGGCCACATGCCTACGGTTGTGCCTGATGAACTACGTCGACCAAGTGCTGTCGTGTTGGTCGACTTCGCCACAACAACCTTGACGACGATCACACACCTCCGCGGAGCCTTGTCGACTAGGTAACTCGGTCGACCACAGATTGACACCACCCGAAGACCTTTACCAAGTCGACGTCCCCACAGGTCAACGAATCCCCTCGTCGACCATGCCAGTTGAAGTTGGCCGCGGACTTCCCATCGTAAGCAACTTCGCAGAGGTCCCGTGCAGGTCGACCAACTCCGTCGACCTGCATGCCCTAGTCAGCAACGACCCGCACAGATGTCCCGCTCGGTCTGCGGGCAGCCGGCTACATCTCCCGCGCACCCGACTGCAAGGTCTGCTTCGCCCAAGCGAGGACGGGGCCATTTACCGTCAACACCCTTCCCCTCCCGCCCACTGCCCCTTCTCGTCCCCTTCCCCCCCACAACCTCCCCCTCACGGTTTTCCCCCCACCCCAAGGACTGCCTCCCTGTCTTCCCTTTTCTCTGCTCGCTTCTCCGTCATTTCACTCTGCTGCGCTTGCTGAATCCCTCCCTCCTCTCCCATTCCTTATTGTCTTTCCCCCATTCCCTCTACCCGCATTCCTTCTTCTCCCTCATCTGCACGTGTCTTCATCTCCTGCCTCCACGTGGCAGCGTTTGGACTGCTCGAGAACCATCCGGTGGCTGTGATTGGCCCGCACACATCTGACCAGGCCGCCCGATTCAGCCCAATTGCAGCGGCAACCCAGGTAACACAGCAGGCAACCAATGCCACCCAGACTCTCCCTTTGTCTCGTTGATTGATCAGGTACCTATAAGCGCATAAAAATACTTAATGCTACTCCCCCCCCCCCCCTCCTCGTCCTGTGACCCCTCGTTCCCCCCCCACAGGTGCAAATTCATATCCGCATCAGCAACGGACGTGCAGCTCACTCAGGGTGCCACCCGCCCCTTATTCTGCGCACTTCCCCCCTTCCTTCCCGCCATCCGTAACCCCCCCACTTCCTCCCCACCCCCACCCCCCTCTCTTCCTTCGACCTCCTTTCCCTCCCCCGTCCTGTTCCCCCTTGTTCCCCTCCGCCAGGTGCCGTTCATATCGGCATCAGCAACGGACGTGCAGCTCACTCAGGGCGCCACCCGCCCCTTCTTCATGCGCACCGTGGCCAGCGATGGCGTGCAGATGGCCGCCATGGCAGGTGGGGATGAAGCGTGCCAGATTCCAGGTGGGGATGAAGCGTGCCAGATGCCAGGTGGGGTACTAGATGCCAGGTGCAAGTAGCGGCGTGCAGATGGCCGCCATGGCAGGTGAGCGAGTGACAGATGGCAGGCAGGTGCAGAGCACATGGCAGGTGCAGAGCACATGGCAGGTGCAGAGCACATGGCAGGTGCAGAGCACATGGCAGGTGCAGAGCACATGGCAGGTGGGGATGAAGCTCACCCCATTAGGTGGTGGCAGGCAGGTACGTACAAGATGCCAGGCGCCAGTAGCGGCAAGCAACACGCTGTTTGTATTTTATCCACAGCAACAATCGTCGGGACTATTGATCAAGTCGAAACCAAATCCTCCTTCCTCCTCCCCACCCCCATCACCCCCGCGTCTCAACCAATCAGAGCTGATCAAGCACTACAAGTGGCAGCAAGTGGCGCTCATTTACAGCGACGACCGCTTCGGCCGCAATGGAGTGGCTGCACTCACCTCACAGCTTATCACCATCCGTGTGAGTCACAGGGATGGACGAGAGAGGAAAGGTTTTACTGCTCCATTGTTCTTTTTCCAGTATTCTCCTATCCCACTTCCTCCCGATTCCATGATTCGCCTAGCGCCACCTACACAACCCTCCTCCCTCCCCCCCCCTCCCCCCTCCCCCCCCTTGTTGTGCTCATTCCTCCTTGGTTAGAGGCGTTCCATAAGTTGTGCGGCGTTTGGTAACATTGAACCCTTGAAACCTTAAATATGGACTTGCTGTGTGTCAATCCATTCCTCCCTCCTTGATGCTGCTGAGACATCTCAATGCGAGGCTTGCGGCAGCGACATGAAACCCTAAACCCAAACAGTGCAGGTGGCCATGCCGCCGCCAGCCACACATGCAGCCTTGCCAACGCGGAAGCATGACTTGTGTACATGCTTCCGTCCCCCCCTCTCATGATGTCACTTTTGAGTCGACTCAAAAGTCACCTCGAGTCGACTCAAGAGTAGCCACGCATGCAGCCTTGCCAACGCGGAAGCATGTGTTGTGTACACGCTTCCGTCCCCCCTCTCATGATTTCTCACCTTGCCCCGGCCGATTCCAAGCTATTCTGTGCAATGGCTTACCTTGCCTTTACCAAAACAGGCGGATGCGGATGTGGCAGTGCAGGCGACCATGCCACTGTCAGCCACAGACGAGGCCATTCACGGCTACATGTCCTCCCTGAAGTGCTTTTCTGTGCTGTGTGGTACTGTGTGGTGCTGTGTGGTGCTGTGTCGTGCTGTGCAATGGGTGCCTTCTCTTGCCCTTTCCAAAACAGGCGGAGGCGGATGTGGCAGTGCGGGTGGCCATCCCGCTGTCAGCCACAGACGAGGCCATTCACGACTACATATCCTCCCTGGTGCCTCTAGACGTGGCGGTCTACGTGCTGCACGCCTCCGCCACTGTCTTCTCTACCGTTGTTGAAGCTGGTGGGTGGCGCAGAACAGATAGTTTTCTACATGTCTCACATGTCAGCCACAGACGAGGCCATTCACGAGCACATGGCGTCCCTGGTTGTCGGAGTTCTTCCCTTCTCCTTCCTCACTCCTCCCTTGCCCCTGCCTCGTCCCTGCCTTGTGTCCTCACCTTCTTCCCTTCCTTCTTATTCTCGCCTTTCCCCACCTTGTGCTGTCCCCACTCCTGTTACCCTGTTCCCTTCTGCGTTCTCAGCCACTACCAGAGAAGTTTACTCTCCCACACGATGGCTGCCCACAGTGGCGTAGTCACCTAGCTAGCATAGCCTTGTTGCGGTAACGTTATCCACTATATGAGGCAAACAAGACGAGAGAACAGGTTTGCTATGCTAGGCTAGGCTATTTGTGCTTGGCTGCCCAGTCGCGAGTAACTCAGCGTGCTGGGTTGAGCTCGAGCCGCCTAGGCCTTGGAGTGGCCCTCGCCAGATTGCCTGTCTCCCGAGGTTCCTGAAATTGTCCCCGAAGCGCCCTGTAACCCCCGATGCTACCAACTTCTCGCTACTCTCTATAACCCAACTACCCCACATGCAGATTGAATAACACTCGCTACACCACTTCTACACCCAATTAGCATATGTCTCCAATATGATGCTCTTACCATTATATTTGGTGACAGCTGTCGGAGTTCTTCCCTTCTCCTTCCTCACTCCTCCCTTGCCCCTGCCTCTTCCCTGCCTTCTTTCCTCACCTTCTTCCCTTCCTTCTTATTCTGGCCTTTCCCCACCTTGTGCTGTCCCCACTCCTGTTACCCTGTTCCCTTCTGCGTTCTCAGCCACTACCTGCCCCCTCCTGTGCTCGTGCTCGAGCTAGGGTTGAGCAAAAAAACGAACGCGAACCGAACAGGTATTTTTTTTTGGCTTAAAATGTTCGCCGAACAGTGTTCGATGTTCGCCCGAACACGTTCGTGTTCGGGCCGCTGCTGCAATTTGCCCGCGACGAACACGAACAGTGTTCGAGGTTCGCCCGAACTCGCCTTCACAGGCGAACGGCGAACACCATTTTTTGTTCAAAGTGTTCGCCGAACCGAACAGTGTTTGGTTCGGCAAACGAAGGTGTTCGTGTAGGGGCGAACACGAACACGTTCGTGTTCGCCACTTGCTCATCCCTAGCTCGAGCTGCTCGGGCGCGAGTCACAGGACTCTCAGCTGAGGACAGCTGCTCTTCAGTCCTGCCGTGCGGGTCTGGTGGTCCCCGGTCTGTTCTCCCTTCTTCTTCTCCAACACTAGCACTCCCACGCCTCGCACTGCTTGCGCCCTCCCCTTCACTCTTCCCTATTCCACAGCTAGTGTATCCTTCTTTGCCCCTCTCTTCCCGTCCCACCTCTATAGCCGCCTTTATCCCCTTGCCTTCCTGCTGCTGCCACTTCTCACAGCAGCACGCATCCCTCAACTGCACGGTATGTAGGTCGTCCACCGCCACCGGTATCACCTCCTGCAAGTATTCCGCTGCCTTAGCTCGCTCCCATGCCGCCCGGCTCTCCGCCTCTTCCATTGTATGGTCTACCTTTTCCCCTGTTGCTAGGGGCTCCCATGCCCCCACTTCCTTACTCTCCCGCTCTGCTTCCCCCAGCAGCTCTGGCCTTCCTCCCCGCAGCTTCCTCACATGCCGCTCCGCCAGCTTGTTTCCCTGCGCTTGCATCCAATCCTTCATCGTCACACCAGTGTTCGCCCCTGCCCCGATTTCCCCGAACAACTCTGCTGTCTTCAGCGATGGCTGCCAACCATTCCCTCCCATGTCTGTACTGCTCAGCTCCGTCTTCCCTCCTTTCTTCACCGCTCCCTCCTTCTCGCCCTTCCCTTCCGCTTCTTCTGCTGCTGGTACACACGCCCTTGCCCCCGCCTCTTCGTCCCTCTCCTCTACTTCTACTGCTGCCATTACACCCACTCCTGCACCACCTGCTCGTCCTTCTCCTCTGCTTCCGCTGCTACTGGTACGCATGCCCAGGTCCCCTCTCTCTCATTCTTCCCTTCCCCTTCTGTTGCTGCCCATTTCCTCACCTTCTCATCCTTCCCTTCAGTGTCTGCTGCTACTAATTCGCACACTCCTGCCTCCTTCTCCTCGTCCTTCTCTTCCCCTTCTGCCACTGCCCATGCCCTCACCTTCTCGTCCTTCTCTTCCCCTTCTGCTGCTGCCCATGCCCTCACCTTCTCATCCTTACCTTCAGTGTCTGCTGCTACTAATTCACACACTTCCGCCTCCTCTTTCTCGTCCTTCTGTTCCCCTTCTGCCACTGCCCATGCCCTCACCTTCGTGGCTCGCTCCTTTCCTCTGTCCCTGCCCCCACAGCGCAGCCCCATGGCGTCACTGCTACACAGCACCGCACAGGAATATTCTGGCGCCTGCTCCCCTTCCTCCTTCTCTTCTTCCTCACTTGCATACAACCCCGCCTGCCTCTCTGTCCTTCCTCTCAGCTCCCGCCCTTTCCTTCCGTCTCTGCCCCCACTGCGCAGCCCCAGTCCCTCACGGCTACGTAACGCCAGGCATGTGTACTCTGGCTCCTGCCCTTCCTCCTCTTCTGCTCCTTCTTCCCTCGCGTACAGCCCAGCCTCTTTCTCCTTACTCCCTCCCAGGGCCTGCAGCTGCGCCCGCAACTGCCTTATCTGGCTCTCGATCTCCTCTGCTGACCCTTTCCTTCCGCCTGCCCCTTTATCGCATCCCCTTGCTTCATGCCCCCTTTCTCCGCACTCCTTACATGTCGGTGCCTCCGGGCAGTCCCTTCGGCGGTGCCCTGGCTTCCCACATGCATCGCAGTTTCTGCAGTGCATCCTTATGTGCCCCGGCTGTCCACACCGGTAACAGGTGCGTGTCACTGCCCTTTTCTCCGGCCTGCTCTCTTCTCCTGCTCCCTCCCCTGATATCATCGCCGCTGCCCAGGTAGGACTCTTCTTCTCTATCGTCCTCGACAGGTTTACCTCATACTTCCTCTGCGCCAGCTCCACCCTTTCCGCTAACCCGAATACCACCTCTGGTGTTGCATCTGCTCCTAGCTCATAGACTCTCATTCTCAACCCTCCTGCCAATCCCTTGTCTAAACCATTCAGAAACTTGCTAATGATCATGCTGCTGTCCGTGCACACCACGTCTTCCGCCAGGTTCATTAACCGTCCGTAGTATGTCAGCAGTGACTCCTCGTCCCTCCGCCTAAACTCCTGGAATTCCCTGATGCGCGCTGCCGTATGCCCAGAGAACTGCTTCCTTAGTCGCTCCAGGAACAGTACCGTCGGGTCCTCGTCATCCTCTTCTGCCCTTCACAGCCATTCACCCATCTTCATGCGATACAAAGTCTCTGCTCCCCCTCCCAACGTGCTTGGCAGGCTCAGAAAAAACTCAATCGGGTCCATCCCGCTTCTGTCACATCGGTATTTAACATTGCTGATCTGCATCAAATAGTTCTTCAGACTTGGGCCGGTTTTCTCGTTTCCCGTGAAGCGTACTGGCACCTCCACTCGCGGCTGTGCTGTTGCCCCCCACTTCCCTGTTTCCCAGCTCTCCGTCCCTCCTTGCTCAGACATCATAACCCCTCTCCTCCTTTCCCTTTCTCCCCTGCTGCCCGTGCTCGTTCCATACAGCACTCGCTCTATTCCCTCCCTAGCTGCTCTTGCTCTAGCAGATCCTACGCCGTGACGCCCCGGCCTCCTCGGGCCCATCGGGCTAGGGCTCCCCCCTGCGCCTCTCTGCATCTTCCCGACGCTTCTCTCCCCTTGCAGGGGACCGCTCCTGGTACTGCCGCACTCTGTCCTCTCGCTGTCGCTCCTTCTCTGCTGCCCTCGAGACTTCTGGTGTCCGCACACCTTCTCTCTTGCCTCGCTAGTCCTCCTCGCGCCTCCACTCCCTTCCTCTTTCCGGTGAGTCCCGCCTGTCTCTTTCCTCATAATCTCCACACTCTTCCCAGCCTCGGCGTTCCTGATCCCGTTTCCCCGTTTCCCCTTTTCTTCCTGCCTCTTCACCCCCTTGGTATCGCTCTCCTTCGCCCCTCCTCTCACGGCTCTCTCTCTCGGGCCACCTTCTTGCTTTTCGCTTGTTTCCTTTGCAGCCCTTCTCTCTGCCCACAGGTGTTCTTCTGCTTTCTCACGGCGCGCTCCCGCCTGTTCCCTTGAGGCGCTGGGTGGCGATCGTATGCTACCCCTGCCTCGCGCCTTCTCCGCTGGCCGCCGCCTCCTTGCTGGCGAGTGCTGAACGCGCTTTCCTTCGTAATCCTCGTCGTCCTCCTCTTCTGACCATTCCAGCGATCTCCCTTCTCCCATCGCCATACGCCTCCTGCCCGCACGGCCTTGTCCTGGCTCGGGCGAACGATACACTCCTGCTGGTGCAGCACGCCTCTTCTCCTCCTCCCCTCGCTCCCTTGACCAGGGCTCAGCTGCTTTGCTCCTGCTGCGCCTCGCTTGACTCCCGCGCACCTCTGCTGGTGCGCGATCTGCATCCGCGCGGTTCCCCTGGCGTTTCGCGCCGCCCCCACCCATTTCGTCGGTCGCGCCATCTGCCTCCACGCTCCCGCGTCGCCTTGCGCCACTCCCACACACTTCTTCTGTCGAGCGATTTAATCCCGTCGCCTCTCCGCATTCTTCACGTTTTTCTCCACGACGCCTCTCGCCTGCCTTGCGCATGTCGCCCGGCGAGTGATCTTCTTCCTCGTCCATGGGATCATCCTCCGCCAACTCCTCGCCGTCGGCCTCCTTTGCCAACATCAGCGAGTCCGTCTCATCGGCATCCTCCTGACGCCTTACTCCCGCGCCCTGCTGGCCTCTTGCCAGATCCCAGGGATCGCTCTTCGACGGCTGGGGTCCTGGCGCCGATCTCATCTGCAGACCGAGCTCGCCTTCACTGTGCAGTCCGTCACTGGTCGCCATCCAATCCGCCCGATCCGCCTCTCTGCCAGGCGAGCGACCTGGCAATCTTCCCCGCTCCTTTGAGCGCATCCTTCGCGACGTCGGTTTCTCCCGCCGCGAGTACGTCCGCTGCCACCGCAGCTCATGGCAGTCCATACTGCCTATCTGCTTCTCTTGTCTTGTGAGAAGTTTACTCTCCCACACGATGGCTGCCCACAGTGGCGTAGTCACCTAGCTAGCGTAGCCTTGTTGCGGTAACGTTATCCACTATATGAGGCAAACAAGACAAGAGAACAGGTTTGAAAATCGCTGTCATGCGGCCCGAGTCGTTCATGCTCTCAACCTCACCGACTTTTGAGACGTCTCAAAAGTTGAGCTCAGCCTCTCTGGCTGTCCAAGTGAAAATCGCTGTCATGCGGCCCGAGTCGTTCATGCTCTCAACCTCACCGACTTTTGAGACGTCTCAAAAGTTGAGCTCAGCCTTTCTGGCTGTCCAAGTGAAAATCGCTGTCACGCGGCCTGAGTCGTTCATGCTCTCGATCTCACCGACTTTTGAGACGTCTCAAAAGTTGAGCTCAGCCTTTCTGGCTGTCCAAGTGAAAATCTCTGTCATGCGGCCCGAGTCGTTCATGCTCTCAATCAACCTCACCGACTTTTGAGACGTCTCAAAAGTTGAGCTCAGCCTTTCTGGCTGTCCAAGTGAAAATCGCTGTCACGCGGCCTGAGTCGTTCATGCTCTCAACCTCACCGACTTTTGAGACGTCTCAAAAATTGAGCTCAGCCTTTCTGGCTGTCCAAGTGAAAATCGCTGTCATGCGGCCCGAGTCGTTCATGCTCTCAACCTCACCGACTTTTGAGACGTCTCAAAAGTTGAGCTCAGCCTTTCTGGGTGTCCAAGTGAAAATTGCTGTCATGCGGCCCGAGTCGTTCATGCTCTCAACCTCCCTGTTTACGCTCCCACCTTCACCCTCATCCTCACTCTTCACCATCACCCCCTATCAGCCAGGAAGTTGCGGCTGTATGCGCGGAGCAGCGTTTGGATCGCCTCGGATGCAGCAGCTGCCATGAGTTTCACGTTCAACCAACACTTGGATGTGAGTGGAGAGTGGTGCTGGGACTCTGGTGCAGAGTGGTGATTGTGAGTGGAGAGTGGTGGTGGTGGTGTAAGTGTGGTGCTGGGTTGACTTTTGAGTCGACTCAAAGGTTAACTCTGAGGCCGCAGCTGACATGAGTGCCACGTCCAGGCACTGTGTGGATGTGAGTGCGCAGTGGTGCTGGTGCGATTGGGGTGCTGGTGTGGCAGTGGTGCTGGTGCGAGTGGGGTGCTGGTGTGGCAGTGGTGCTGGTGCGAGTGGGGTGCTGGTGTGGCAGTGGTGCTGGTGCGAGTGGGGTGCTGGTGTGGCAGTGGTGCTGGTGCGAGTGGGGTGCTGGTGTGGCAGTGGTGCTGGTGCGAGTGGGGTGCTGGTGTGGCTGTGGTGCTGGTGCAAGTGGGGTGCTGGTGTGGCTGTGGTGCTGGTGCGAGTGGGGTGCTGGTGTGGCTGTGGTGCTGGTGCGAGTGGGGTGCTGGTGTGGCTGTGGTGCTGGTGTGATTGCGGTGCTGGTGTGAGTGGGATGATGTGAGTGTGTCTTGAGAGTGCAGAGTGGTGATGTGGATGAATAAGAGGATTGTAGGTAAGTTTGCTATGTTTCGAGTGTTTGGTGGCTTGGAAGGCCCGCATTTTCTCTGCCCTCCTCGCCACTTATCCTCTCTCCTCTCCTCTCCTCTTCTCTCATCTCCTCTTCTCTCCTCCCTCTTCCTCTCCTCTCCTCTTCTCTTTCCTCCCCTCTTCTCCCCTTTCCTCTCCTCTCCTCTCCTCTCCTCTCCTCTCCTCTCCTCTCCTCTCCTCTCCTCTCATCTCATCTCATCTCATCTCATCTCATCTCATCTCATCTCATCTCATCTCATCTCATCTCATCTCATCTCATCTCATCTCATCTCATCTCATCTCATCTCATCTCATCTCATTTCATCTCATCTCATCGCATCTCCTCTCCTCTCCTCTCCTCTCCTCTTCTCTCCTCTTCTCTGACTCGTCTCGCCTCTCTCAACCCCACCCCACCCCTCTCTCCTCTCTTCCAGGGCCTCATCATCACAGCCAGTTGCATGTTCTCCTCTCCCTCTCTCCTCGCCTCTCTCAACCCCACTCCACCGCTCTCTCACCCTTCGATCACAGGGCCTAATCATCACAACCACCCACTTGCCCTCCTCCCCACACCTCTCATCCTTCCTGGATCGCTGGAAGCACCTCAATGCCTCGCAGTACCCTGGACTCTCCAAAGAGGTACACTACACCTTATGCTCGTTATAAGCTAGTGTGTGAGATTCTTCAGTAGCACCTCAATGCCTCACTAACAGTACCCTGGGCTCACCATGGAGGTAAGCCCTATGCCCTTCATGAACTAATGTCCGCTGAAAAAGAATTGCCACCGAGACACTTCAAAGAATTGCCACCACTCATGAACTAACCTGTTTCTAGCTGAATCTTGCTTTTTATGTTCTTTGCTCCTCTGCTTAGGTATTGCCATTCTGCTCCTGACAGTTACTGTATCCCCTACCACACACCTCCCTCTAAATCCCTTTTCCCCCCACCTCCCTCCCCCCATGCCAGACGCCATCCCCATACGCGCTCTCGTCCCACGATGCTGTCACCCTCGTTGCACGGGCACTCCACTCTCTGCTCTACCCCTCCCCTCCTGCATCGACCAACTCCTCCTCTCATGCACTCAAGCAGACGCAGCAGCGGAATATAAGCCCCCATCAGCAGAGTATAAGCCCGCAGCAAGAGCGGCAGCAGCAAAAGAGAGTGCAGCAGCAAGCAGGGCAGCAGCAAGAAGGGGAGGGGGGGGCATTCCAGCAGCTGGAGCTGCCGGTGCTGCCGTCCCTCCCCAACGGCACCCAGGATGCCCTTGCCCCACCACTCACCCGCCTGCAACAAAGTGCAAGTATGCCGCGCCTTGCCCCATGCGTCCTGCCCTGCCCCATGCCCTTGCTCCACCACTCACTCGCCTGCAACAAAGTGCAAGTATGCTGTGTCTCACTCGTACTCCTTGCTCCATCCGTGCGGCTTGCCCGATGCGCCTCGCCAGCGCGCCCTGCCTGTTGCACCCTGGCATCATCCCCATCATCCCCATCATCCGTAAGATCCCTGCATCGCTTGTTTGCCTCCTCCGCCCTCTCCGCATGATCCCTGCGCCCATCCACCTCCACAAGTATACTGCGTGCTCCCCTCTACTCTACTCTACTCTGCTCTACTCTACACTACTCTGCTCTACTCTACTCTACTCTACTCTACTCTGCTCTACTCTACTCTGCTCTACTATACTCTGCTCTACTCTACTCTACCCTACTCTACTCTACTCTGCTCTACTCTACTCTACTCTGCTCTACTCTACTCTACTCTGCTCTACTCTGCTCTGCTCTACTCTACTCTGCTCTACTCTGTAGAGCGGAGTAGAGCAGAGCAGAGTAGAGCAGAGTAGAGCAGAGCAGAGTAGAGTAGAGCAGAGTAGAGTAGAGCAGAGCAGAGTAGAGCAAAGTACAGTAGAGCAGAGTAGAGTAGAGCAGAGTGGAGTAGAGCAGAGTAGAGTAGAGCAGAGTAGAGTATAGTAGAGCAGAGTAGAGTAGAGCAGAGTAGAGCAGAGTAGAGTAGAGCAGTCTGCTCTACTCTACTCTGCTCTACTCTACTCTGCTCTACTCTACTCTGCCCTACTCTACTCTGCTCTACTCTACTCTACCCAAGTCTACTCTGCTCCACTCTACTCTGCTCTACTCTACTCTGCTCTACTCTACTCTGCTCTACTCTACTCTGCTCTACTCTACTCTGCTCTACTCTACTCTGCGCTACTCTACTCTGCTCTACTCTACTCTGCTCTGCTCTACTCTACTCTGCTCTACTCTACTCTGCTCTACTCTACTCTACTCTACTCTACTCTGCTCTGCTCTACTCTACTTTGCTCTACTCTACTCTGCTCTACTCTACTCTACTCTACTCTGCTCTGCTCTACTCTACTCTACTCTGCTCTACTCAGTCTCTACTATACTCTGCTGATCACATGCTTCGCTCGTTGCTCTATCTGTTGTGCTGCTGTGCTGCCGTGCTGTCGTGCTGCCATGCTTCCGTGCCCTTCCTCCCGTGTTGACTCCCTGTCGCCGATACAATCTAGCTCGGAATAATATTTGCCCGCCTGCCTGCTCCAATGCTTCCCCACAATACTCCAACCCAACTACAGTGGGACCGGCACTGCGGAAAGCTCTTCTCAAGACCAGCTTCGACGGGCTGCAGGGCAGGTCAGGCGTGTTGAGGAAAAAGGGGGTGTGTGTGAGGAGTCTGGGTCTGCGAGGAGAGTGTGTGGGGGGATGGGGGGGGATGTGAGGAGAGGAGTGCGGGGGGGGAGGTGGAGGGATGTGAGAGTGAGGGGGAGGAAGTGTGGGAGAGTGGCATGGGCTTGCCCAAATCCTTGTGTCTCCGTACTCCTCCTCCTTGTCCCATCTCTTCTTCTTCTCCCACCCACCCTCATACGCACTAGAGGCGTCCACATTCACTGTACTTTCCGCTGACCCAACCCCCCACACCTATTCTCCTCCGCAGTTCCCTCATTTCCAATTCTGTCGCCCCCTTTTGTCCCCACTTCCTCCTCCCCCCACCTGCTCTCCTCCTCCTCAACCTTTCACAATCTAAACTGGTTTGCACCCATTCCTCTCTCCTCTCAGGATCGCACTAACCCCACATGGCGACCTGGCAGAAAGCGAGATCCGCATTTTGAACATCCAAAAACGGGCCCCCATGGAAGTGGCCCTCTGGTCTTCCTCCCTCGGCCTCGTCCCCTCCTCCTTCCGCCCACCCCCCCAATCTGCCCCGCCTTCCACCGCTTCCCCTGCTCCGCGCCCAGGGCCTGTCGCAGTCCCCAGCACACAGGTTAGTCGTTCTCTACCCTTCCTCCCACCCACCCTCTCGACCCTCCCCACCCTCCCCACCTTCATCGGCTTCCCCTGCGCCGCGCCTAGCGCCTGTCGCAGGCCCCCCCAGCACACAGGTTAGTCACCCTCCCTCGGCCCTCTCCTGCCTTCCCGCTCAGCCCCCACCCTCTCCAGCCTCCCCACCTTCCCCTGCTTTCCCAACGTTGAGCCCAGGCTCACTTCTAAGCTCCAGCTCACATCACAGTTTAGGTTTGAAACCTAACTTCAGTTTATACAGGTTAGGACCAACCTGCATAGTTCGTGCTCAGTATGTTCTACCTACTTTGGAGGCATGAAGAAACAAGTAGCGCACCGTTTTTCACCCCAACATGAGGGCCCGTTTGGACAAATCAGCAAAAGCAGGTCACGGCAGGGCGGCATGCTTGACGTTTCCAGAGAACATCTACCTGGTGATTCTGTGAAGTGCCGTTGTCTCCCTGCTTAATTGACTGTTCTAACTTGTGTGAATCAGTGCCGTTGCCTCCCTGCTGTGCCGCGCAGACTCCCAATGCTCTTCCCATCATCTTCCCTGGAGGGCTCACCCAGGTAGGAGGGAAGGGGGGAGGGAGTCCTACTGGTAGGGCAAGTAGAGGGAATTGGTATCGCAAGGGGAGGGAGTCACGCTGGTAGGGTAAGAGGAGGAATCATAAGGGGGAGCGAGTTTTGAGGCGCCTCAAGTGGGAAGCGGGGAGCGAGTCACACACTGAGTTTTACTCGCAGCCTTGTTCGTTACTCTTGTTCACACTGAGTAATTCGTTGTAACAAATGAGTGCTGGATCAGAACGCTCGCAGGCTGATGGCACTCGTTTCTCTCTCCTCCTCGCTGTAGCACACTCTGGGTTTAGAACCTACAATTCACAAACGCTGCTCCTTCCTTCCAAACCTCTGCCAACCTCATTTTGCATACCTGCCCCTGCCCCTGACCATGCCCCTGCCCCTGCCCCTGCCCCTGCCCCTGCCCCTGCCCCTGCCCCTGCCCCTGCCCCTGCCCCTGCCCCTGCCCCTGCCCCCGCCCCTGCCCCCGCCCCGGCACTCGCCCCTGCTCCCGTGCCCCTGCTCCCCCCTGCCCCCGCACCCCCCCCTGCTCCTGTCCCGCACTCGCCCCTGCTCCCTGTCTCCTCGTGTGTCTTGCTGTCTCCTGCAGGTGCCAGCAGGATCATTCCCCAAGACTCGCCTTCGAATCGCAGTGCCGAATAAACAGGTGCTTGCATGGTGGCATGGTGCAGGTAAGCAGATCACAACAAGTACAGTGTCCTTATCACACGTGCCCATATCACCACGTGTCCTTAACAGCACATGTGCGTATCAACAGGTTGCTTAGTCACCAGGGTATCTCTATCAACAGGCGTGCTTATAGGCAATCCACTCTTTTCCGGGTAAGCATGTAAGGACATGGTGTATTGTATATCAAGCCAACTTAATACCTACCCTCCCATCCTCCTCCCCATATCTTCGCCCCTGATCTCTCTCCCTTCCCCTCCTCCCGCCAGCAATACAAGGAGTATGTGAACGTGTCAGACGCCCTGGGCGAGGGCAACAGCCGCTTCTCAGGCTACTGCGTGGAGGTGTTCCGCCTGGCCGTTACGCGGTTACCCTACAAGCTCGACTACGAGTTTGTGCTGTACGGTGATAAGGACCTCAGCTACACTCAGATGGTGCTGGCTGTCGCCAACAAGGTAAGGATCTCTCTTACCGCTTAAGAGGGAAGGTCCTCACGAGGTCTGGCTCTGGGCTGTGAGTGGGTGCTCCTTACATGGTGACAAGGACCTCAGCTACACACAGATGGTGCTGGCTGTCGCCAACAAGGTGCGCCTCTTTCTTTCCTCCGCATGCCCTGTGCTGCCCTACGTTTCTCTGTGTTCATTTGTGTTTCCCTGTGTTCATTTGTGTTTCCCTGTCCATTCGTGTGCTGCCCTGGCCTGGTATGCACTGCTCTCCTGCCTGGCAGACTTACGACGCAGCAGTGGGGGACATCACAGTGTTGGACTCGCGGAACAAGTCGTTGAGGTGCCTCAGCTCCCTGTGCCATGCTGCCCTGTGCTGCCCTGTATGTCCCTGTGCTGTCCCATGTTTCTCTGTGCTTCACCTGTGCTGGCTGGCAGACGTACGATGCAGCAGTGGGGGACATCACAGTGCTGGACTCGCGGAGCAAATTCGTCTTCTTCACCTACCCCATCCAGGTACCACCTACCCCATCCAGGTACCACCTACCCCATCCAGGTACCACCTACCCCATCCAGGTACCACCTACCCCATCCAGGTACCACCTACCCCATCCAGGTACCACCTACCCCATCCAGGTACCACCTACCCCATCCAGGTACC